CCAGTTTGCTTACAGAGTGGAACATTCCAGGAGGGCAGCAGGAGACGGGGGAGGGGGAGTTGGAGCCGGATTGGGAAGGGCTCCGTGCCAGGCTTTAGCACTTGGGGAGTAGTATTACTTGGTGGCTAAGAAGACAGGCTCTGAAATTGAACTGCCTAATTCATACCACAGCTCTATTCCTAACTATGTCCCCTTAACCAAGTTAGTTAACTACTCTAAGCCTCAGTTTTTCATCTGCAGAATGGGAAGACTAATAATATACCTACCCATAGGGTAGGTACAGGGATTAAATTGGGTTGTTGAGGCCCAGATGGTGTAATTCCAGCACTTTGGGAGGCCAAGGTGGGCAGATCATCTGAGGTCAGGAGTTTAAGACCAGCCTGGCCAATGTGGTAAAACCCTGACTCTACTAAAAATACAAAAAATTAGCTGGGTATGGTGGTAGGCACTTGTAATCCCAGCTACTCAGGAGTCTGAGGCAGGAGAATTGCTTGAACCTGGAAGACAGAGATTGCAGTGAGCCGAGATCATGCCATTGCACTCCAGCCTGGGCAACAAGAATGAAACTCCGCCTCAAAAAAGAAAAAAAAAATTGGGTTGTTGAGATAGCATGAGTAGAGTGCTCAGCACCATGCCTGGTATGTCACAGCCATGGGTGAGCATGAGCTCTTACTGTGATGAGGCCGTGGAGCCTCCAGGAGCTTGGAGCAGGGCACGGAGCCATCTGGTAACAAGGTTTATCTGGCAGCATGCAGGTTGGGGAGTTGGAGACAGGAGGCCATGTAGGAGGTGCGTGCATCTGTGGGTTTGAAGGTAAGAGCCTGGCTGGGCTACTGAGGAAGAAAAGGAAATCCAGGAAGCAGATTTAAGCAGGGCTTGGTGAGGTCAGCTGGAACTGGTATTGGTTGCAGAAAAAAAGGCTCTTTGGGAGGTCGGGGAGGGAGCTATGAGTAGAGGCAAGGTTCGACATGGACCTGTTGGGTGTAAGCTGGCTGCAGGGATCCAGAGGGGACTGCATGTTGATGTGGAAGTGAAAAAGCCTACTCACTTAACTGCCTGGGCTTCTAATCATCCAGATCACTGACTCCTTTGAGAATCAGATGAAAGTGTCTGTCCAGAAAAATGTCCTCCCTCATAGATTCTGAGGTGTTTGTAAGAGTTCTCAGACCCTGAGGCTGAGAACCAAAAACTGGCTTATTAAGAAGAGCCCCTTTAGCTCTTAGAGCGGAGTCAGCACAAAAGAGGTCAAGACCAGGCCTCAGGAGCCCCTTCACTCTGTGTTGTGGGGGAGGTGCCTTCACAGTGTGTGTGGGATGTGTGTGTGTGTGTGTGTGTGTGTGTGTGTGTAGGCAGGAAGTGATGCAGAGAGGGGGCCTGCAGTTTCTCTCTCTCTCTCTCTCTCACACACACACACACACACACACACAGCAGCTCTCTTTTTAATTTTTGAGCAGAAGGCGTAAGAAGGGGTAGCCTCTGATTTCTATACGGTAGAAACTCAGGCAAAGTGATCACTTGTTAGAGGACTGACAAGGCAAAGAAGGTGGGAGAAAGGGAACTGGTTGAGTGTTCTGTGAGTAGAAGCTCAGTTCGTTACCTTGGCTTTTTTTCCCCCCCAAGGGATCTTCCCACCTTAGCCTCCTGAGTATCCCTACCCCTGCCCCGCCCTTTTTTTTTTAACCTTCAAGGCTGATATATTGCATCAACAAGTACAATTTTGAAAGCAAGACCTTTCTGTTAGAGACTTGGTGCTGCTTTGCAAACCAGGAGTGACTTGGGCCTTGGCCCAATTGTGGACTGCAGTGATCTGCTTGTCAGTATCTCCATTCACCCTGGGTTTCTGAAATGCCTTCATCTGAGAACAGATATTTCAAAGGATGCCATTGCTGTTCCTTACATTTTTATTATTTCTTTAGGAGATCAAAAGCTAGATTATCATTGTCGTTAGAATCAGATGAAGGCGAGGAAAGGGAGTTAGAAGACCCCAAAGACATAGTATGAAATTTGATCTACACTGATGCATGTAAAACCTCACTTTCCTCAGACTGCAGCACTGGAAGCATCATGAGAGGGTGCCTCTCCAGTGCAAGGGGGTTGGGATGCTGTAGAGAACGTGGTATGGCCCTGGGAATTGTGACTAGAGATCTCTCCTAATGCCTGGGTCAGGAGGCACTGCTTGGAGGAGGTGACACCTGCCTTGTGGTAGAGTTAGCTCTAGAAAGGCACTCCAGACAGAAGGCGGGGACAGGGCTCATCTGAGGTTGAGAATGGTGCAAGGGAGGAGTGCAATGTGGGGAATGGGTAAAGAGTGTCCTGGGATGTCTGCAGAGGCCAGATCTCGCGGGGCCTTTGTGCCATGGTCAGGAGTTTGGACTTAACCTTGAGGGTAGGATCGGAGGGTTTTATAGGAAGAAGATAGTTTGGTGGGGAGATAGCTCTGTCGTTCCTTACCTGTCAGGAGTAGGAGCGGGGTGCAGATGGTGTGGGCACACCTCCACAGGTTATGGGATCAGCATGTATCTGGAGGTGGGAGGTGCTGAGCAAGTCTGGGCTGGTAAAACTCAGCTTTCTGGAATCAAGAAATGCAGTGGCATCCAGGAAAGTGCCTACAGAAAGTCCAGCCACCTAGTGACTTGCTAACGCACCGTGCCCCATCTGGCTTTTGATCTCATTCATTTTTCAAATCATTCAGGGTCCAGTAAGGGCTGCAAAGTCATCAGTAGGAAACCAAGGACAGACCTGCCCAAAGGCAGAAAACAACTGAAATTCAGAACATCCTGACTGTCAGCCAGCCTTAGATGCTGGGATTATAGGGGGATGAGAACAGTGGCCTCTTAAGGGCACTGGCATTTCACATTGTCACGTCCCCAAGCTAGCTGTGATCCTCCCTCTCCCCCTCCCTCCCTCTCTCACCATTTGGGCAACCGGAGCACTTGGTTTCTGTTCCAATTACCATATGCTCGAGCCTATGTACTCATAGCGGCAGCACTTGGAGAATAGTAAACACTCGGAGACAAGCTTCATTTTATAGGAACAACTGCAAATGTGTGGTAAAGCTATCTCCAAGTCCTTCTCAGGCCTCTCACCTTCGAGTAAGATGGATTAGTATGGTTAGCATATCTAAAAGTGAAAGGTATGAAATTTCTAGAGAAATATCTCCCTGGAATCTCCTCACATTGGTGGAGAGTCCTGGATTATTGCATCCCCGTTTCTTGAGCAAAGAGATCCTATGTGCTAATTTTCCTGGATGACTAACTCCAACTTCAGAGCCAAAGCTGTCATAGGAGGCAGGGTGCCCAAGTGTGATCACTCCTTGGGGACATCAGGGTGAGCCAGTTTGACCAGGGCAGGTCTTTTACATAATTCATTAGACAGAAGTGCTTAAAAGGTTAAGTCATACTGAGCAAGCTTCCTCCCTCACCCTGGGGAAGCTTCTAGGCTAGGCCAAAGCTCACTGCCAGCAGGGCCTGGGGCCAGGACTTGGCCTAGGTCCTGGCTGCAGATAGGATTAGGAAAAGGAAGAGAGGTCACAGAACATGCTGACAACTGTTTGTAATGTGTCCTCTTCACTCCCCTGATTCCCCACCTTTTCTCAATTCCGACCTTTCTCTTCTCTTTTTAGGAAACATCTTTATACAGCAACCAAGTTACTACAATGACCTAGATGAAACCATGCCTACTATCCTTCAGGTACCAGCTCCTAGCCCTGCCTAGGGGAGGTTGAGCTTGGAGGACAGGCCACCTCCCTGACTTTCCTGGAAGAGCTGAGGAAATGTTTATTCCCTGACTCCCTCATTTCCCCAGACAGTCTCTTTGTCTTACCCCTGACTACACCTCTTTAAAATTTGCCCTTTTCCCTCTTGAAGAAGACCGAAGTCTAAGGGTTGCTGGCTGGCGCTCACATAGGAAGAGTTTGGCTTGCATTTTGTGTTGCTTGCCGACAGCCATATGCTTCTAAGGCTATCCCTCTAAGAGACCAGTGTTTCTCAAAAAAGAGCTTTAAAGTTTTACAAAATTATTTCACAAAATAATGTTCATTGTAGAAATTTGGAAAAGAAATGAAAGAGGAACATTACTGTTCCCCCATAATCCCACCACCAAGCGATATCCACTGTCCACGGTAAGTTTGAAATCCTTACATGCTAGCCTCCTTAAAGATGGCACAGTCAGTTCAGTACCTACAATGGACTCTGTTTTCCTCTCACTGTTGATTTGTCTTATTTCAATGTAGTTTTCATAAATAGCCATCTACAGGGGATCTAAAAATTTGTTATGCATTGCTAAAGGTATGTCTTAAATGTTCATTATCATACTTGCCTGACCTGTACAGTCAGATAATATCTAAAGGATTCTGGGGGCTATTTTTTTTTATAAGACAGGTTCTTGCCCTGTCACCGAGGCTAGAGTGCAGTGGCACAATCATAGCCTTGAACTAACTCCTGGGCTCAATTGATTCTCCCACCTCAGCCTCCCAAGTAGCTGGGATTACAGGTACATACCATCTTGCCCAGCTAATTTAAATTTCTTTGTAGAGATGGGGGTCTCACTATGTTGCCCAGGCTAGTCTTGAACTTCTGGCCTCAAGTGATCCTCCATCCTTGGCCTCCCAAAGTTTGGGCATTATAGGAGTGAGGTACCACACTTGGCCCCAGGTTGTCTTTTTAATCCTCTTCACACTCATACAAGAAGGATGAGTTCTCATCATCTCCGTCTTACATAGTTTTTAGTCTGACCCCACTCTTAGAGAAGGTCATTGTCTCAGCTTGTATCCTGGAAACATGGGTAAATATTCAGAAATTCCAAGGCAGTTTTCAGATCACCCGACCCTGGCTGCAGCCAGGGGTTCCAGCCCCGGTTCGGTATGATGTGGGAGAGCCCATTCTTGTCTTTCACAGGTCTTCAGCAATATCCTCCAGCACTGTGGTTTGCAAGGGGATGGGGCCAGTAGCACACCCCAGAAGCTCGAGGAGAGGGGCCGGTTGACCCCCAACGACATGCCTCTCCTGGTAATGTTGCCCTTCAGCCCAGTGTCTTTCCTGCTGGGTCCCTCCAACCAGGGTCTGGCTACCCAGAGGCTGGGAAGATTGCCCTAGTAAAGAACCCAGTGGCATCTTCCCTGCCCAGGGCCCCTTCCCCCAGTGCAGTGAGCAGCTATTTATTTCCCATCACACAGGTTTAGAAATTTTTGCTGGCTTGTGTTTCTCTCTGAGAGCTTCATTTACAAAGTAGTGGAAAGAACCAGGGAATAAGAATTCAGAGTCCTTATTTATTTTAGTTCAACATGCTCATTTGTATGGTTTTCACTGAGCCAGTCATTCATTAAGTGGACTTATATTGAGGAATCCCCAGCATGTGCCAGACCCTGCGCTAGGCCTGGAGGTAAAGCAGTAAACAAAAGCAGGCTGGCCCCTGTGCTCTTGGAATTTTGAGTCTAACAGGGGTGACAAATGGAAGGCAGACATTCAGGAAGCCTCAACGTGTGTCACGTGCTGCACTAAGCCCTGGAGATAGAACAGGAACAAGGCAGCTATGAGATGCCTCCTGGAGAATGTGATCTTGTTTCAGAAGGGCATGTGGCAAGCACTGTGGGAACAAATCATTTTACCCCTCAGAACCTCAGTTTCCTTATCTGTAAAACAGAGATTCTCAACAGCTTCCCAGCCTACTTTTCGGAGTTGTCATGAGAACCAGGAGAGTGTGTAAGAAACTTAGAAAGTGTTTTGTATACCCTCTTCAAGATGTGAAAAACCTAGGTACTTAATATTCTTGTCCTGCCTCTGATGTTTCTTCTTTCTATAATGTCTTCAGATTTAAGAGTTGGTTTTCCTTTAGCTTAGGAGAATAAATTGTATTATCTCAGAACTGGAAGTAACCCAGCTATCATTGGGTGTAAGGCCATTGGAGCTACCATAGAAACTGAGGCTTAGAGAAGTTAGGTGACTCACCCAGATCGTGCTTGTGAAGATGGACCAGCCAGGCTTTGTCCAGGACCTCCAGTGTTCTCTTCCTCCCATGTAACATCCTGCCTGTTTGGACTCTGACTATGTTAATGTTGTCTCAGACGCTCTGCAGATCTGTATGTGTGGGCAGAGGAGAATAATGCAGTGTATTCTTTTGGCAACAGGAATTAAAGGACATTATTCTCTACCTTTGTGATACCTGCACCACACTCTGGGCCTTTCTGGATATCTTTCCTTTGGCTTGCCAGACCTTCCAGAAGCACGACTTTTGTTACAGGTATGGCGGTAGTTCTGGCTGTTGAAATAGAGGTTCTGGCTTATGTACTCATTTAACAAATACTTACTGGATGCTTAGAATTTGTCAGTCCCTCTTCCAGCCTGGGGATGCAGCAGTGAAAACAACAGAAAAGCCTCCTACTTGTGTGGAGCCTGCATTTTAGAAGCACTTCCATTTTTGGCCAAGACCAGGATAGGGAAGGGGAAGAAAAACCAACACAACCAAGAATAGAGTAGTTTCAATTTAGTAGAGTAGCCCAGCGGGGAACATACACAAGGAAACAACAGGAGTGCTCCAACATGGGGCTGGGAAATGACCCTTAAAGGATGTCTTGAAGGAACAGGTATCTTCCAGACAAAGAAAGGTTCCTATAGCAGGAAGGGCATCCTAGACAGGTGAAGTGAAGCATCCAGAGGCCCAGAGTGTGGGTGGGAGAGAACCGGGGAGTGAATTGTGACATGAGGCAGAGGTTGGAGACACACAGGATGACAGGAAAACAAGCTAGTAACAAGAACCCACTTTGGGTAAGTCAGTAGAAGTCAGATTGTGAGGAGCCTGGGGTGTCCTAGCAGGTCCTGGATGCTGTAGGCAGTGGGGAGCCTCTCTGGAGGCTTTTATCCAGAGGAGTCATTAGAAAGATCCTGGTGGGGGCCGGGCACGGTGGCTTACGCCTATAATCCCAGCACTTTGGGAGGCTGAGGCAGGTGGATCACAAGGTCAAGAGATCGAGACCATCCTGGTCAACAAGGTGAAACCCCGTCTCTACTAAAAATCCAAAAATTAGCTGGGTATGGTGGTGCGCACCTGTAGTCCCAGCTACTCAGGAGGCTGAGGCAGGAGAATTGCTTGAACCCAGAAGGCGGAGGTTGCGGTGAGCCAAGATCGTGCCATTGCACTCCAGTCTGGGTAACAACAGTGAAACTCCACCTCAAAAAAAAAAAGAAAGAAAGAAAGATCCTGGTGGGATGGAGACAGATGTGGAAGAGAATATGAGCCAGGGAGGCAGACCCACTTTGCCCTCTTAGCACCAAGAGCATCTGTTGCTTATGCAGTAAGAAAGGGGTGTGCATGGGCATTCCCAGGCCAGGGTGAAAAGGCTGACAACCTGCATATTGCTTGGCAGTTGTGGGCACGGGCCTCTTCCCAGTGGTATCTGATCATCACTCTAGCAAGGCATCTCTCCTCACCATTTGTAGCAGCTTCTGGGAGCTGCCCAACTCCGTCCATTCAGCTGCCTGTCCATTCTGTCATTTACTAACCCATTCAAAACATTTATCTAGCACTTACATGTGCCAGAGAGGCAGCTGGTGCTGTGACCCCTCCCTGGTCGCCTCAGCTTATAAAAATCAGACATTAAGGTTGTTGAGCCTCCTAGAGAATGTTAGGATAATGTGCTGCCCAGCATTTTTCCCAGAAGAGAGAGGTATGTAGCTGTTCACTTTTTTTAATAAAGGTATCTTTTCTCATGATAAAAGCAGCAGGTGCTTGTAGGACATTTGGAAAATCCAGAAAAGTAGGAAATTAGAGATCATACTATTCTTAGAATTTTGTACCCTCCTTATTTTTACTTATCATAGGCATTTTCACATTTTGTTAAAGTGTTTCCCCAAATGTGGCACAGATTGCTTTTGAAAGGCTCTTTGGAGACAGGGGGAGGAGTAAGTTTTGGAAGAGCTGACTTTTCTGCAACGGACGGCAGAGGCAGGGGAGAGGCTGTACCCATCTCTGGGTGAGGAGGAAGAAAGGGAAACACTTTTAACTAAACACTGCCTTTGACCCACAAACAGCCTGGGGCTGACCCAGTCTGTTCCAACTGTGCTGGAGGCCAGGAACACCCTGCTGAACAAATGCAGCCACCTCAGTTCCACAGAACTCTCTGAAAGTGTTTACTGTTGCCCCGTCAGCTCTGTTGATAATCTCTCTCAAAACAACCTTTTTCCTCCTTCCTCTCCCATCTACTTAAGTATAGCTGAGTATATCTCTTTCTGCCCTTTATGAATAAATAATATATTCACATGGTTCAAAACTCAAAAAGTATAAAATACACACTGAAAAGTCTCCCTTTCCACTTCCCCAATTCTATTCTTCACGTACAACTATCATCATTAGGTTTTTTTGTGGAATTTTCCAGAGATACTCAAATATATATGCATATATGAGTAACTATGCACATTATATATCTCCCTCCTTTTAAAAAAGTTAAGGCTGGCATATTATGGGTAATTACTGCTTGCATTTTACTTTTTTACTTAACAGTGGTCCCATATCAGTGCATTGAGCCCCCTTTCTCCAATGTCTTTGGTATGGCGGGGTAGAATTCCACTGTATGGAATACCAAATCCCATGGATGGTCCCTTAGATTTTTTCAGTTGTTTGCTATTACAAAAATACACTACAGAGGCCAGGTGTGGTGGCTTGCGCCTATAATCCCAGCACCTTGGGAGGCCTAGGTACGTGGATCACTTGAGGCCAAGAGTTCGAGAGCAACCTGGCCAACACGGTGAAACCCTGTCTCTTCTAAAAATACAGAAATTAGCTGGGTGTGGTGGCATATGCCTGTAATTCCAGCTACTCAGGAAGCTGAGGTGGGAGAATCACTTGAACCCAGGAGGCAGAGGTTGCAGTGAGCAGGAATTGTGCCACTGCCCTCCGACCTGGATGACAGAGCAAAACTCTGTCTCAAAAAACAAAAATTACAAAGAACAACTTTGCACACACATTATTTTGTACCTTGCAAGTATATATGAGGAATAATTCCTAGAAGTAGACTAGCAGGGACAGATGGTATGTGCATTTTTAATATTCGCAGATCTTGCCAAATCGCCCTCCATGGGGGTTGTTCCAATTTACTCTCCCACCAGCAACTTATCTTGGCAACAGCTGAACCTGTTTAGGCCAAACTGCCCTCTCTGTCGTTTTCTGGACTATGCTGTGGGCCTAGCGGGGCCCACCTTTTTTGGCATAGTTACTCTTTGTTATGTATAGCATTGCAGTAGGATGCCTTGCCAGAAACCAGCCAGTTGACAGACACGTGTTTACAGAGGACTTGCTCCAAATTCAGCACTGACCTAGGCACTTAAGCTGTAGTTCCAGCTTTGGGAAGCTTAAGATGTTTGGAGGAAGAATTATACCACAGAAAAGAGACAGCTGCAGTTTCACTTGCCAGGGCAGTGTATTCCAAGTGCAGTGCATCTAGTTCTGGAAAGGAGGAATTCACATGAGTGAGCACGATCAGGAAGTGCACAGGGAGGAGGTGAGCCTGGAATGCTGCATGGAGGAGGAGGAGAATGAGAAAGAAGAGGAGAGCAGTGGCCAGCATTAGCCTGAGAGAAAGCCAGAGGGCTGCGGGCGTGCTGGTCTCTGGATGTTGAGTGGCTGTGCAGCTGGGATGGAGAGTTTGAATTTGAGTTAGGAAGGGTTGGTGTGAAATCGCCAAGGTGAAAAGCAAGATTGACTATACTGTGACTGGTATGGATGTACCAGAGAGAATAATTATGGTTTGCTGTCATAGGAGGTAGGGAGCTGCTAGCAGTTGTTTCTTTTCTTTTTGTTAGTATAATTATATTTATTTGAAAATAATTTTATATAAACTATTTTTAGTTTTATAATTTTCTTTTTTTTTGAGACAGAGTCTCACTCTGTCACCCAGGCTAGGGGTACAGTGGCTCGATTTCGGCCCACTGCAACCTTTGCCTCCCAGATTCAAGCAATTCTCCTGTTTCAGCCTCCCGAGTAGCTGGGATTACAGGTGCCCGCCCCCATGTCCAGCTAATTTTCATATTTTTAGTAGAGACAGGGTTTCACCATGTTAACCACACTGGTCTCAAACTTCTGACCTCAAGTGATCCGCCCACCTTGGCCCCCACAAAGTGCTAGGATTGATTACAGGCATGAGCCACCATGCACAGCCTTAATTTTATAAAAGTTTTAAGCCAGGTACCTGTAATTTCAACTTCTTGGGAGGCTGAGGCAGAAGGATTGCTTAAGCCTAGGAATTCAAAACCAGCCTAGGCAATATAACTAGACTTTATCTCAAAAAATTAATTAGTTAAAAAAATAGTGTCAACTGTCTTAACCTATAAGCCAATATAGAAAATACATTTTTTTCTTAAAATTTTTAATTATTATTTTTTAATTTTAATATATTTTCTCATTTCCAGTGGGGTTGGAAAAAATCATGAGAACATTTAGCCTATTTTGACCAAATACAAATATTGTGTTGGTATTTTCATGTTAACACAATTTTTTTTTGAGACAGTCTCACCCTGTTGCCCAGGCTGGAGTGCAGTGGTACGATCTTGGCTCACTGCAACCTCCACCTCCCTGGCTTCAGACAATTCTCACGCCTCAGCCTCCTGAGTAGCTGGGATTACAGGCATGCACCACCATGCCTACTCAAACATTTTCATATTTTTAGTAGACACAGGGTTTTACCATGTTGGCCAGGCTGCTCTTGAACTCCTGACCTTGAGTAATCCGCCCACCTCAGCCTCCCAAAGTGCTGGGATTATAGGCATGAGCTACTGCACCCAGACAGAACAATTGTTTTTTTTGAGGGGATAGGATTTCACTCTGTCACCCAGGCCGGAATGCAGTGGTGTGATCACTGCTCACTGTAGCCTTGACACCTCGGGCTACTGCCTTGGCCTCCCAAGTCGCTGGGACTGCAGGTGTGTACCACCATGTCTGGCTAATTTTTGTATTTTTTGTAGAGATGGCGTTTCGCCAGCCTGTTTCTCAGGCTGATCTTGAGCTCTTGGCTCAAGCAGTCCTCTTCTGTCACCCCACAAAGTTCTGGGATTACAGGCATGTAAAGTGTCAGTTTGCCTGGCTAACT